AGTTCCAGTGGACTTTGAGAAATAACCAAAAGCTACTGCCTTTCTAGGCTTTAATAAATATATGCATACTAAAATCTATAAACAATTGAAGGAATTCATGGAATTTCTTCCATTTTACCATAAGTTTAGCAGTTTAGACATTTTTTTTTGAGACAGAGCCTCATTCTGTCACCCTGGGTAGAATACAGTGGCATCATCATAGCTCACTGCAACCTCAAACTCCAAGGCTCAAGTGATCCTCTTGCCTCAGCCTCCTGAGTAGCAGGAACTTCAGGCACATGGTACATGACTGGCTAATTTTTTTTATTTTTGGTAGAGATAGGGTCTCACTCCTGATTTCAAGCAATCTTGCCATTTTGGCCTCCTAGAGTGCTAGGATTACAGGTATGAGCCACTATGCCCAGCCTTAGCGTTTCTTTCAATATTCCCTCATCGTGGATTTCTTTGAAGGTTTGAAACAGCATTTTCACTCTTCATTTCATCGGTAGAGCTTCAGTTAAGGTCTGCCAATAAGTAAAACACATGATTGGGTTATTATTTCTGACAGATGCCAAATTCAGTGTATTTTGAAACATTTGATCCATTTATTAACTCCTTTTTTGAGTGTGCTTTCCTATGCTGTTTATTTATTTACAACTTTCAAAAATAATATTAGAGGCACTGAAGAAACAAATGTTTCTACTACTCACATGTACTACTGCTTCAACCAATACTGGGAATCACAAGTGGATTATAGGTAGTGGCTAGAAGAGTATTGAGGCGTATAATAGAGCAAATCTCCATTGACCGAACGGACTGTTACTAGAAATGTGGATGCTAAGAATTCTGTGAGTAATGACTCAAAAGGAAGTGTCAACCCAAAATAAGTGACTGAGGCAAATATATCAATCAATGGAGGTTATTAAGGCAAAGTTGAAGAATTGCCCAGGAAAACCACACCACGGACAGATCTTTGGCTGTTTTTCTGAAGGGAAATTTGAAAGTTTCAGTATTGATAGGGGAATGGGAAAATCAGAAAGAAAACAAAAGGCAGGAACAGTGAGACAAAATGGTTATATTTTTGTGAGACCCAGGAAAATCTACATAAGATAAGGAAAACGTTAGAAGAGAAATTGTGAGGGAAGCATCAATTAAGTAGATGTCTGTGCGTAGATGGAAGAGTGATAGATACTGTTTTGTCACTGTTCTGTACCTGTGAAGATAAACTTGTTATTCATTATGAGTGTGAAATTAAACAGACCTTAGGTTTAGGAATTTGATGTAGCCTGCAGACCTAAAGTTGCTATTTGCAAGTCCTTTTTAATGGGAAGCCAACAATGAATTTCCTTAATGAATGATGTGTGGAGCCCGTCCTTCACAGATACCTGATGACTTTACCTTCCCTTTTGAATAAGGCATTTGGGCGGTAGTTCTTAGATTTTATTTTCTTTTACGTTCAACCCTGTTCTTCAAAATCTTTGGGGGAACACGTTGTGGAGGACATGAGTTTGCATTTGTATGTTTCATATAATTTGACATTGCTAGGAAGCCTCATTCTTAGGAGGTCATTTCCCACAGAGAGGAGAATGAATTAAATCAAGAAGGATCAATGCCAAAATTGAGGTGGATAATAAAAACTCAAAAATAATGAAGAAGGCTAGAATCTAATAAGAGGTCTGGTGTAGGTTTTTTTTTTTTTTTTTAACACATAATGTTTTGTTCTCTGTCTAGTTTCTCATTTTTACCAAGTGTATAGCATAGTAGGTCCAGTTTATTTGTAACATAAATTTTAATCTTATTATAATTGGCTAGATTATTTGCATAAAGTGCAGCAAGAGTAGTTATTGGCCATATGGACTTTCTTTTTTTTATGTTGGCTTTGTTGGAATTTTTTAAAAAGGAATCCCAGATTAGACTTTTTTTGAAAAGAGCCTCTTGAGGCTAGTCAAGGCAAGTATTTTTCAAACTGTCTGCAATACCCGTATGAATTGGGTAACTTCTTTTCAGAGATCCCCAAATAACTTAAGCTTGCAGAACCTGATGGAAAGTGACATTCTTTACCTACCATAGATTAGAACCTTGTAAATGACAAGGTACTAGCCCAGTCTCTCCAAAAGGGCTTCTTATTGGCTTTATAATGTCAATCTTAATTCCTCAATGTAGTCTGGGCATACTTGAAAATATGCCATTCCAGTCAAAGCTTTGGTAAAATATCCAGTGTCACCAATTATGTCCTGTTTTAAAAGAAAATCGATCCTTATTAAACTTAAGCAAATAACTATATTATCATATATTAAGAATATTCACAAATAGTGTCTAAATTTTGGAGAAATCAAGTAGAGAGAAAAATGCTTCAAATTTTGCTCACAAAATTATACTTTACCAGTTTGCTGTGAGCTATAAATAGCTCAAAAGAATATAAAAAACTTTTTTGACTTCTGGAAAACAAAACACAAAAAGAATCAGCAATGTTTTAAACAAAAAGTCATAAATAATAAAAAATTACTTCAGTTCCATGTAATCAATTTTTGTTTTGTTTGAGGTTTGTTTAACAATCCTCATGAACAATCCTCATGATGTGTGGAGCCCGTCCTTCACAGATACCTGATGACTTTACTTTCCCTTTTGAATAAGGCATTTGGGCAGTAGTTCTTAGATTTTATTTTCTTTTACATTCAACCCTGTTCTTCAAAATTTGGGGGGGAACACGTTGTAGAGGACATGAGTTTGCATTTGTATGTTTCGTATAATTTGACATTGCTAGGAAGCCTCATTCTTAGGAGGTCATTAATCAGCTTTTAATCAAAGTCTGGTGAAGTTTTCCTCATCCAAATGGTATGATCTCCAAAGTTATCAGCTGTACCTGTAATTAATAGTACCCATCAGAGTCCTTTCTATAAATTTTCTTGAAGAAGCAAATTTTGGACTGTATCCAGTTAAAAATCACTTTTTAAGAGAATCAAAGTAAAGCAATTATTGTCTGTGGAAGACAATATATCTTAGAATAGCCATTGTTAAAGAGATAATTGACAAAGAAATTTGGTTATTTTTGTGGCGTAGGACAATTTAATGAATAACCATAATCAATACTGATAATATACACAAAGACATATCAGAATTATAGAAATCTCATATAATTTTATTATAAACTACATATTAACAACATGTTTATACAAATATAACCCAAAGAAAGTTAAACACCATTTCATATTTGAAAATGCTTCATGATGGTTTTCACATGCCGTACTAGACTAATGTACCTCTTGGACTTTAAGTGGCTCCAATATTTAAAAAAACTATTTTGAAGTCAAGTAGACTAAATTTAGAATTTTGATTTTGGAAAGTTTGTCAAATATGAATGTTTTAGAACACTTGTCACAAAACAGGATTACAGGTTACTATAAAATAACAGTCATTCATTTAGCCAATGTGATAATTTAAATAATTTAAGAAGCAAAAATTTT